GCATGGTGAGAGTCGCCCTGCTTCTCCAGGCTGGCCTTCTCGACTCCGGCCTTCGGATCTGTACACAGTCCCCCACCCCCCACCCCGAGACCTATTCAGCAGATGCCCCAAAGAGGCTCTTCCCGGACTGTCCTGCCCCTGTTGGAGTCTCACTCCGAGGGAGAGGAGGAACAGCCCACAGGGAGTGGGAGCGTGGCTCCGGTGGCTGTGGAGGAAACTGGGGGAGGGCACAGGCCGGATGGCCATTCAGAGGAAGACCCAGGCCCATCCCTTCTTCATCCTAGGGCACGCGGGGAGGAGCGGAGAAGGGAGAAATGTGAATGGCGCGGTCTACGTGGGAGGAAGGGGCCCTGATCCCCTTCGTGGGCTGCAGCTGGGAGGACTGTTTAAAAGGACAAATTGTGCGCTGGCAAAGTTGTCGGAGCTTATCTGTGTTTTGGCTTCCTCCCAACTGTGGTTGCTGCGTTATCTGGAAGAAGTCTGCAATTCATCATCCTTGCCTGCCGTAGTAATTCCTTCGGTGTGGTTCGTGTTGGGTTTTTTATTTCGAATTAGCTTTACTTTGGGTGCGGACGGCATTTACTCCCTACGTAAACTGTTTTCTTTAGGAGTTTGATATCCTGCCGAGGATCATTGGACATTGGGGCCGAGTTGGAGGCATTCAAGGGGCTTCCTTCTATTTTTGTGTCTTGGTTATTTTTGTGTCACGCTCCTTTGGGTCATCACACTGACCCACTCCACCAGGAGACCCCCAACGCTTTGGCCTCAGTTGCTCCTAAGAGAATTCCCAAAGCCCCTCCTGGCCTGTCCCTCTGTGCCCCCCCCCCCAAGAATTCTTCACTTACCCCCGAATAGCCGTAGATGTCTTCAAAGTAGCGGAAGCGAGCGACCCGTCCTCGAGGGACTCCCGCTTCCTCGCCCCCCGCACTCTCAGACTTCTTTTTGGACGGCCGCAATTTCTTTTCCCGGAAGTTGATGTTGTGGGGCACCTGGTTGGAGGAGAACCGAGAGAAAAGGTGTGGAAGAAAGAAGAGTGGAAAGGTGGCCTACGGGTGGGATGGCAGCCCCCGCTGGCTGCCCCTCCGATCTGCCCCTTCCCTGGTAAGGTAACACCGAGACATGGAGGAAGGAGGTGGCTGCCCTCTCTCTCTCCCTCTCCCCCCCCTTTGCTGATGTGGGGATGTCACAACTGCGGAGGTTGTTACCTTTTTGAATCGCACTTTGAGGTTGGCCTGGGCCAGCTGAGAGTCGTGGTTAAAGGCCTCGTAGATGAGCAGCTCTTGATCCACGTGAACCTGGCAAGAGAAACGGGAAGCCCATCTGAGAGACACTCCAACCCCGGGGCTCGCAAGGCGCAGCTCTGGGGCTGCAGGCGCTGGCGACCCAACTGTGCTTGGTCTGAACCGCCCTCCCTCAACTCCGTTCCCAAGGGGACCGAGTTACAGGGAGAGCCAGTTTGGTCCAGTGGTGAAGGCTAGAAACCAGGAGACGGTGAGTTCTAGTTTTGCCTCAGACATGAAAGCCATCTGGGTGACTTTGGGCCAATCACCAGGAGACAGGGAATTCTAGTCCTGCCTTAGGCATGAATGTTGGCGGTGACTTCGGGCATTCTTCTCTCTCAGCCCAACCTGCCTCAAAGGGTTGTTGTTCTGGGGAAAATGGGAGGATGAAGGAGCATGCCTTGAATTACATAAGAATGACTACTCGGAGTCAGCTTCAACCATAAGATGGGTGGCAAATAAAACCTGATAAATAAGATAATAAAAGTGGACAGAAATAAAGAGCGTAAATGAAGTGACTGAGTTCCCCTGTGAGCGATGTGTTCGTGGATAAGGAAGTCACCCACAAAGAGATCACCACAGATCCCAGATCCTTCTCCACTGGCTCTCTACAGGAAGAGTCTTCCCGGTTTCACTTTCTGAAAGCCTTCTTAGATTTTTTTTAAAAAATCAGAGCTTAGACAAGCTTTAAATGCCAGCTGGTGCCGTAACGGGACAACTTGAACAAAACAAGTTAATTTCTAAGTGTGACCAGAACTTATTGTGCCCAGTTGTTTCTCTTATCTCCTGCCTAGGATGTCCCAAAGATTCTTTTCCAAAAGACAACTGGACTTCCTTGGTTTCTTTTTCCTTGAAAAGGTTTCGCTTCTCATCCCAGAAGCTTCTTCAGTTCTTCAGAAGTACTTCTTCAGTCATTCAGAACTGAAGAAGCTTCTGGAATGAGAAGCGAAACCTTTTCAAGGGGAAAAAAAAACACCAAGGAAGTTCCAGTTGCCTTTTGGAAAAGCAGCTTTGGGACAACGGTGACCTGAACGATGGAGAATCTCCACGGAATCCGCAAGGTTTATCTAATGCCTCCCTCTGTCAAAGTCATCTTGGCTGCACATTCTTTTGATAGCGCCACTGCTTCACGGAAATGGCTGCTCGATCTTCTGCGCCTGACTCTAATTTGGCTTTTTATAGACCTGAAACCTCACTTGGTCCCGACAGCTGCCAGGATCCCTCAGGGCAAGCGACCCTCAAGCCCAAGGGTCTTCAAACTTGGCAAGTTTAACTCCCAGAATTCCTGAGCTAACATGACTGGAGGAGGAGGAATTCTGGGAGTTGAAGTCCACAAGTCTTAAAGCTGTCAAGTTTGAAGGCCCCTGTTAGGAATAACATAGGTTACCTAACGTAGTTTGGGTAAAATAATATATATAGACTATGATAGTGAGTTTAAGTGTGTGTCACTTTAACTGCAAAGCTTGTAATTTTGGGTGCGGCTGTAAAATCGCCATAAGAGGGAAAAAGAGAACTGGATTGATTGCTGGCTTACTGGATTGCTTGCTGACGATGATGGATTGTTAACTGCGTGTTCTCTGCTGTTGGTGAAGGAAGAAAGGAGGTTTTACTTCTTCATATCTCTACTGTGAAGAGATATATTACTGGACTGATATTTGTAAGTTTAATGACCTCTTTTTCGACACTGGACTTTGCAACTGAATAATCCCCGGACGGACTGAACTAGTGAATGATATATGGACTGTTTGACTATGCTAAAACTCTTACTGGAATAAACTATTTAACTAGCACAGTGTATCTGTTTTACTGAGTGTAAGCTACAACAACGTTTGTCTCACATATTTGCCTGCCTGCCTGACTGCCGTGCAGGTTCTGCTA